ATGACCAAGGCCCTGAGGGGATGGGAAGCTGTTGTTGTAAAACCAAGCGTGATCCAGTGGAGGTTTTATTGCGGGCGCAGACCGAGCAAGCATCAATGTACTACCGGACCTCCGACTTCACTGACTGCCACCAACACTCCATTGGAATTGTTTACGTCCTACTTTCTGGCTGCACTCATTCTGGCTTCAACTTCATTCACCTCAAGACCCTCGAGTCCAACCCCTCCGTCACTTCATGTGTGCCCCAGGGCTCACTTAAGTTTTGTACTTCTCTGTATGTTTCGTCTCATAATGCCGACTAAAATTATAATCCTTGAACACAGCAATCTTCTCTCAACAAACTAAACACACGGCTTTATCTCAAAGTTCACTAAACAAATACTTAGCAGTCTTATTTGTGTTGAAAAGCCGGCATTCGGAATCAAACTTTCTTTTTTTTAGCAATGGTGGACATTGTTGAGGGTTAAAGTCTCGTCAATCACACTTGTCATTGCATTGAATAAAATGCAACTTCGAAATAAAAGCAATGTAGCTCTAGCCACGCATGAGGTAAAATTAGAAAATATTTTTATTTTGTAATCCCCTCTTAACCTTACATGGTCAGTGAGAGTCAAGCAAATGGCCGTATATGGCCCAGGGCCATGATCTACAATGTCGTGGATACCATATTTGAATAATGAGGGCCAGTTCAGAATTTAGTTTAAATGATTCAAAAGAGGAAAGAGTACCCTGCAAACAACTGATTTAGTGAGACATTTCAGACCTATGACACTTCAGTGAAAGTAAATAGTAAATGGACTGTACTAATAGTTTTAGTTGTTTTTTTATCTCCCTAACTTTTATGGAATGCACCACATTTACACAGGATTGTGTTCTGATAATTTTGAGTTTGTAAAGCTAGTATTAATATTAGTATTTGCTGTGGTATTAGGATAAGCTCAAACATTGAGATTTTTGCACATCTCAAAGACCATATAATAAGGGTACAATCAGGATTAAAGTTTAGACAGCTTTTCCTCATGTACTCGCTGTCCCTAAATACACATTATGCATTACAATGCATTACACCCAATGCATTAACATAAACTGAAAAATAAACTGACATGCACAGCCAAGCAGACACACTGTCCTCTAAATAATGTCATAATACTTTATTTATTTTTTCCTGTTTAATTATGGTGGGGCACGGAGACATGGAAGAAGTAATCATGTTAAGATGGATTACTGTGATTCCTTTGACATTTTCATTAATCTAATTAAATTGCGCAACATTCTGTTTTTCTCATGGAATGGTGATATAGGATGTGATTGGAACAGAAAGCTTCTATCAACAGTTCGTTTGGGGATCTGTGATGATTGTGGGATGGCAGAATTGATAAAGGCTTAGGACAACAAATTCCCTACAGAAATTGACCTCAAAGTCAACATGAAAAGGACGATCATGAAGCCGTGGCTGAGAGAGTGTTACGGCAAATGTTACGGCAAGCGACCAGGGAATTTTTTTGCGGCCGTTTTTGACTGCATGAAGATCCACACATCCCCTCCCTGGGCTGCCAAAAAGGTTCCTGAGGGGGTGAAGCAGTGCTCCACCAAGACTGTTTACAGTGGAGGTGGGGCGCTGTTGACCTCAACTTGTGATGTTGTGTTAGAATTGGGCTATAATTACTCACTTTAGCACAGTATGTTATAACTTAATCCATGTAAATGACTGATTGTCTTATTCCTTTCTAGATTAATATTATTCCATTTAGAATGATACTTTTATGTTAAACTCTCTGGCAGTGCCTACTCCTCCTCCTCCTCCTCTCTGTTACAGTAGATACACGTCTTCAAGGTCAACATTCACACACACACACTTTCTTATCATATTTCACTAATAAGATCCAGACGTCCTCCCTTTTCGAGGCCCGGCCCAGAGGATAACTGCCCATGGCACCTGGAAATCGAGGCTCTTGCCAACTGAGATCCTCCGGGAACTTTGTCTGTATATCAGCCGAGTGCTGATATACTTTGCTTGTGACCAAAAAATTTCATATTTGTACTCTTGATCTGCACTGGTTTATTCTCAGGCTTCCAACTAAAGAACCAAAAACTAGCAGTTGTGAGTCGGGTACTTCGAAGACCTCCTAAATCCCACTGTCACGTCTTCTATCAGAGGAGCAGAGCCTGCAGATCTGGAGTCTGACTCTTTGATCTCTGGGGCTGATGTCACCGAGGTAGTCAAAATGCTCTGGGAGTGGATGAGATCCGGCCGGAGTTCCTCAAGGCTCTGGATGTTGTAGGGTTGCGTTAGCTCTGTAATATTGCGTGGACATCAGGAGCATTCCTGCTGGATTTGCAGACTGGGGTGTGTTCCAATTACAGGGGAATCACACTCTTAAGCCTCCCTGGGAAGGTCTATTCGGCGGTTCTGGAGAGAAGGGTCTGCTGGACAGTTGAACCTCGGATTCAGGAGGAGCAGTGTGGTTTTTGTCCTGGCCGTGGAACGCTGGATCAGCTCTATACCCTCAGCAGGGTCCTGGACGGTGCATGGGAGTTTGGCCAACCCATCCACATCTGTTTTGTGGACTTGGAGAAGGCATTCGACCCTGTCCCTCGAGGATCCTGTGGGGGTGGTCCGGGAGTATGGGATACCAGGCCCTCTGTTACGGGCTGTTAGGTCCCTGTACAACCAGTGTCAGAGCTTGGTTTGCATCACTGGTAGTAAGTCGGACCTGTTTCTGGTGAGAGTTGGACTCTGCCAAGGTTTCCCTTTGTCTCCGATTCTGTTAATAAATTTTATGGACAGAATTTCTAGAAGCAGCCAAATTGTTGAAGATGTCCATCTTGGTGGCCTTGATTACATCACTGCTTTTCGCAGATCATGTGGTCATACTGGCTTTGTCAAGTAGTGACCTACATCTCTCGCTGGAGCGGTTCCCAGCTGAGTGTGAAGCGGCAGGGATGAGGATCAGTGTGTAGTGGCCCCCCCCCATTTTATTTGCCTTTTTGTTGCCCCTTCA